GGCTTTAATTTAAAAAATGGACAATAACAAGAGTTGAGGAGGATGTGGAGAAATCCTCGCATATTGCTGGTGGGAATGTAAAAATAGTGAAGATGAAAGTGGAAAACAGGAATGAAATAATGAGAGGAAGAAGGACTACAAGAAGCTTTATGAAGGATGACCCAGTGGAATAAAGTGACTGGTCGAATGTCTAGAATGAATAAAACGGAGTCAAAATGAGTGAAATTAAGGTCCCCCGTGGATGCAAATCATGTTCTGTCACTTACACTCGGGAGAACTTGCATGAGGTACTTAACCTCTGGATTTCAGTTTCTCCACCTGTACAATGGGGATTTCTGCCTCACAGAGTTGTTGAAAGTCTAAATGAGAGACTCATGTAAAGCCTATTGAATGACAGTATGAATTATAATGTAAAGGGGCAACTGATTTGAGGATATGGGCGCTGATATCCCTGACATGGAGAGGAGAGAACTTGAATAAAAACCAAGGAAGAGAACATCTCTTCTCTGAATGCCTCATCGGTACCTGAGTACAACATCCCTCATTCCATGTCTTTCACCCCACCCACCAGGGCCCCATTGTCATTTAAGGGGTAATTCCTCTTTCAACCACCTGCTGTTCCATCACTAATGGACTCACCCTGAGTTGAGGCACCTGACTCAGGAGGCCAGGATCCGTGAGAGAGAAAAAACAGGACGGTATTCCCATCTGAATACTCCAGGATTCCAAGGTTGTATTAGTCCATTTGGCTACTATAACAAAATACCTTAGACTGGGCAATTTATATGTAATAGGAATCTATTTCTCACAATTCTGGAGGTGGAGAAGTCTAATATCGAGGCACCAGCAGATTCGGTGTCTGGAAAGGGCTTGCTTTCTACTCCATAGATGTCATCTTCTTGCAGCATCCTCACGTGGCAAAATGGCTAAAGGGACTCCACTAAGTCCTCAAGCTATTTTATAAGGGTGCTAATCCCATTCGAGGGACCTAATCACTTCCTAAGGTCACACCTATCAAAGCCATTGCATTGGGGATTAAGATATAACATGATTTGTGGAGGAACACGAACATTCAAACCATAGCAAAGGTCTTCAGTGGCTATGTGGTGAAGGGAAAAGACAGGAACTTTGGAATCATCCAGTGTTGGGTTTAAGGCTTTACTCTGCCACCAACTAGTTTGGGATGCCAGTTACCAATACCACCACTAATGTAAGATTAGAAGAAATAATTTTGCAAAGTGCCTCAGACAAAACCTGGTTCAATATAGGCTCAAAAGCCCAGTTTTTTGCCTTGTTTTTCCTGCCTTAGGTAGAATGGGAAGGTCAGCTGGGTGATCACATCTTACACTGCCTGTGGGGGGTGGGCTCCGTGGCTAGCGAGTGCACTAGAGCAGGCTTCCAGGAGTTGAAAGAAGAGACGGCAGCAGCGGGCAGGTGAGACATGCTCTTTATTGTCGGAGGGATGCAGCAGCGGCAAAAGCATGGCCAAGAACATGGCAAGCACTTATATATGGCTCAGAACAATAGTGGCAACGTGCCATGGAAAGCGTGATCACAGGGGTTCACATAGGAGATAACACCTTGGTTACATAAGTGTGTTGACATACGCCTCCTCGGAAGGCCGGCTGAAGACACACCAGCAATCATTTTAGTCTGGCCTAAGAAACCTATTGCCTATACAACTGGACTTCCCTTACACTGCCCCAGAACTAAAGGGCAGTGATGCCCAACCATGACCAGTCACATGGGAAGCCAGTGCAGAGACTGGCACACCGACAGCTTCTGCTCAGCCTGAAAGAGAAGAGGGTCCTCCCCTCCTCCCTCACCCATCAGCAGGCTCCTAGCATTGGCTCACAATGATCAAGCACTTAGCAGAGACCCTATTCAGACCTGTGCTTTCTGACTTCAGCAGTGAAGCAATTGAGCTCATCTGAGCTGTGGGGAACCAAGAGACCCAGGAATCTAGGCCACCAGACAAGCCACAGCAGCTTATGGTACCAGAGTCAGCCCATTTCTGTGTAAGAGCTGGGACCCAAACAGGATGCTACAAGGTGAGGACCCCTAGGGAGGGAAGAAACACCCGCACACTGTGGTGGAAGCTGCATCAGAGCCTCAGGCAATAAGAGCTTAATGGTGGGGTAAGAAGGTCACTAACTAGGACCTCGGGCCAGATATAATTGAGAGCAGTCCAAGGGGAGCCACGCCAGAGAGACTGTCAGCAGCTTCCGTGTGACATCTCCTTCTGCTGAGCCTGCATGGAATGGGAGGGCAGCCCAGAGGCGCCCCCCCGCCACAGAGGGTGCTTGTCTCCTTGACTCTGTTCTCCCACAGCCCCACCACCCTCCCGAGGGAGCCCCAAGTCAGTCCTGCAGGAAGATTCATGACTCTAACCCAGGGTAGATTGAGTCAGGTGCCTTACATAATATTGAAAGTGTTCAGAAAGATCGGATGTGGGAGAGACCATTTCCAAACCTTCAGGATTCAGGCAGCCTCCATGAACAATATCTTGGGAGGAGGCTTTGGACAGGATGGTCAATTCAACAGGCAGAGGTGAGGGTGAGAAACAGGGAGAGGAAACTGTCATTTCAGGCACAGGGATGCAAGTGAGAAAGAAGAGGCTGATGTAGGGTATGGAGCCAGAGTGAATACACGGGGCCTGAGGGGCAGTATAAGCAGAGGCTGGAGAGGCTGAGTCAGACCTTCCCACTAGCTTCACCATCAGAGCCCTCAGCAGCCCTCACCAAGGGGGTAAGGAAATACTGCACATCCGTTCTTACTACTAACTGCCCCTATGCCAGGCCAGGGGAAGACCTGAGGCTGTTTTCCTAAGACAATCCCCAAATTTGACCTCTTAGGGTCATTCTCTGAGAAACAGAAGGCTGGGAAGGGCTTCAGATACTGCGAATTTCTCTTTCCACTCCACAGGAAGATAACTTTGGGTCCACGGGCTAAGGCTGAGGCTTAGGTTCAGATTAGCACAGGTGAAAAGGAAGACGGCTTTGGTTGACTTGCATAATGAGCCCTAGACACTCCCCACAATGTGCACACCCATAAACACACACAAACACATTGCTCAACACACCCAAAGGAGGCCTGCATGAGATCTGCAAAGGAAGCCTTAGGCCAATCCCTTTGGGGGATTCCACCCACCAATTCTGCCTCCTTTGACCCCAGCTTAGCTGGTAGAACCCAGGTCCTAACTCCCTTCTCTTCAGCATAGTCAACACCTCTGCACAGCTCCGATACCTGGACTTGTATTCTCAAAATTACACACATTAGCGACACAGCAGAAGTGGTGGGGATTTGCCATGGGCACAATCAGACAGGGTCCCCTTGGAATGATTTTAGAGAACAACAGTCAGGAACCTTGTGAATGACAGATGAAGAGCCCTCACCGGCAGGGGTGAGGATCCTGACGGCGAGGACAGCATGGGGAGGTGCCACAAAAGGTAACCAGGCCATGAGTACCCATAGAGCTTATGGTTGCAAAGTCAGGCTAACATAGACCAGGGGCAGCTGGAGCTGAACTGCAGCTGGGAGAGGCAGGTGTCTGCAGGCTTGAGGCTCAGAGCACAGGTGTCCCAGTGGTGCCGATTCTCCTGCTTCTTCCAATTAAATGATATTCATGGCCCGGCCTGAGTTATGGACCTCACTATAGACAGTAGCCACAGGCCCCTTTTCTTCCACATGTAGTTCACCAAAGCCCTGGAATGCAAGACAGAGGGGTCCTGGAGCAGCTGAGGGATAAAGTGGCCCCAGAGAGACCTGCAGAGTCAGTGCTCATTGCCATGCTCTCCTTATGAAATTCCCCAAAGTGCAAAGCATTGCGTTGACACCAGCTACAAATTTTTGTTAGTAAATGGTGTTGATTGTCCAGAAATACATGAACAGGCAACAGGGCCAGAAGTGGCAGATGCCTCAGTTTGGAAGCCCAGGGCTGGGCACTGAGGGACCTGCAAGGGTCCAGGATGGCCAGTGGCCCCAGCCATCACCTTGTTCTTACCCACCTGAGACTCCTGCTTCATCAGCTCTTTATAGTAGATGCCACCATCTTCAACCCTGTGGTCCTCCAGTAACTGGGCACCTGACCACACACAGACAATCCTTAAATCTATGCCTTGGAGACGTGTATCCCTCCCACTGCCATGAATGCCAAGGCCATGGCCACACACACCATCCCATCTGCAGGAGACCTTCCTGGCAGCCACATTCAGAAGAAAGGGGACCAAGTTCTAGTGGAGGAGGGGAGGTATCTGGGCCTGGAAGGAGAAGTGCAACCTGCCTCTTCCTGGTTCCATCTCCTTCTTCTTCCCACATATCTTCCAAAGGTATGATATAGCTCCCAGGGTCAACATCAAAACCACAATAGACCTTAGCACGCCTGGCAGCAGGCTAGCCACGTCCGGTCCATGTGAATCTGTTTCCCTCATACAAAGAATGAACAAAATTAAGGCAGGAGAGAACTTGAGATACCCATTTCCAAGGGGAGACAGAAAGAGGAAGCGGGTGGAGGGGCACGAAGGGGTCTGGTGCAGAAGCTGAAGAGGGAGGACCATGGCAGGTCCATTCATTCAACCAGACACCAAGCTGTTGCTTGTGCCAGGGATGCTGAGATGAACAAGACAATGTCCAGGCCCTAAGGTAGCTCATCACATAGGAGGGAAGACTAAGAAAATAGCAACTGCCAGACAGAGGAACCCTGCTGCAACAGAGGTTGGCACCTTGTGCTAGGGCTTCGGGAGAGCCTCCCAGAGGAGGCGTGGGTAGACTGAGTCTTGAGGGAGGAGTAGGAGTTTCCAGATATTCAGAGGGGGTCACTCTAGGAATGAGGAGCACCATGTTCAGGAAATGACTGTGTCAAACACCAACCCTGGGAGTTGCCAGCACCCCCACTGTGGCAGGGGACGGGAAGACAGGGAGGAGGGTCAGAGGGAGGTAGGAGTCTGTGCCCAGAGGACCTTGTGGCTATGCTAAGTGTTAGCTGAGACTCCAGGATGGGGTCAGGGGAGAAGGTCACAGGCGGTTTTAAGTGACACTGACACATCAGACCCTCCAGCAGCTCCTGGAGGAAGAGAAGACGGGGCTGCACACAGGGTCCCAGTCATTCATTCATTCCAGGAACACTGGTTGTCAGCAAACTTTGCCAGAAGCTGCCTTGGCACAGACATTCAAAGGAAAACAAGACACAGCCTAGCCCTCAAGGTTGTCCAGTCCACAGAGGAGACCAAGACACAAATCCATCATTACTGCTCAGTGTGGGGAGGCCACGGACAGCTCCCTAAGGAGGTGGTGCCTGAGGGCAGGACAGGCTGCGTCACTTGCAGGCCCTGTGAAAAATGGAAACGGGGAGCCCTTATTCAACCTGATTAACAGCAGAATTTTAAACCAAGACCGTTCAAAATGGGGCCCTGTGCCACTACCCAGTCTTCACCCCACGAAGCCTGCCTGCCTCAGGGGACTCCTTCAGTAGCAGTAAGACAGGAAGGGAAGGACATGGGACTAGGGACGGCTGATGGGAGAGGACACAGCATGTCCAGAAGCTCCAGAAGCTCAGAATCTTGCAATGGCAGGACATGTTCAGGGAACTACAGCCAGCACATTGGTGTGAAGTGAGTAGGTGAGGCCAAAAATGTGGGCAGAGGAATATCTAAGATCCGAATCCTACAGGGGGTGGCTGGAATCAGGTTCCCACAGATGACACAGACAATGACATAATCCCATCTGCTTTCCCCAAAGCCCACTCTGGACGTCTGGTGGAGGACAAGGGGGGGGGAAAAGCAACAAAAAAACGCAACCCGGAACAACAAGGACATGGTGAGTGGTTGGGAGAGGACAGCACAGATGGGAGAGAAGATAAAAGGCAGAAGTGAGGTGACCGGGACTCCCAGGCTTCTGAGTAGGTGACCAGGTAGACATTGATGCTTATACACATGGCAGGGAGAAAACCCCAGACCCTCAGGCCCCAGTACTGCTTGAGCTCTGGATGTCCCTTCCCACTCACCTTGGACACAGATGTCCCCAAGATCTTTGGTAGCAGTTTTCTGGTCCATGTGGTTGCTGACCACACAGGTAAAGCTGGCATCGGGTTGGCTCAGGGGCAAACTCACAACCAGGCTCCAGGAGTTAAAGGCTTGTCCTGGTGTCCCTCTCTGTTCCAATTCCCTGAGGAGGCCCCTGCTCTCCCAGGTCACGTTAAGGTCCCTTATGGCCCCTGGAGCCCTGCACTCCAGGGTGACATTGCACCAGCCTGGTCCGATGGATGGTGACTGAGCCAGGATGTGGGGATGGGGCACGAGCTCTGGGACAAGAGGGGACAAAAGAAACAGCCTCCTTTGTAGAGAACATTACACATCGTACACTGTAATCGTTTTCTCACAGAAGCCATGGCATGCACCCTGTAGGGAAAGTGGGTGTGTTTTACAGATAAAACACAGCTGGTCTAAAGCTAAACACTGAGCAGATGACAAAAAAGGGAGTCCCTGAGTTCAGCTCTGTGAGGCTTCACTAGATTGAACAAGTCCGAAAAGTCTCCCAAAGCAAACAAAGGCTGGACTCCACCTACTCAAGCCCCATTATTTCTAAGAAATTGGGGTCTTTCCTGGAAGGGGAAAAAGTCTGGAGCAGAAGGGCTTGTCCCCTGCATCTCTAGCTGAGACCACGCCTGAGACTGCACAGCCCTGTGGGGCAGGACTTCAGGCCAGCTCTGGGAGGCCACAGAAAGCCCCATGTTCCTGAGAGTAGACACATTGGTGGGAGATGCAGTGGCAGCGACAAGGAACGACATCTCCAAGCGTGGTTAGAACATGCCACTGAACTTGAGGTACAGACAGGAAGAGAAGAGTCAGATGTGTAAGCCAGTCTTAGAAAGCACATAGGACCTAACACTGCAAACTCGCTCTCTCCATAGCAGGATATTTCCCTATGCACAGAGGAACTTTAGGGAAAGAAAGTCTTGGGTAAACAGGTGTCCTAAGCAGTGTTGCACGTGAACATTCTACTATACCTGTCAAGGCTTTGAGAGCTGGGTTTGTAGAGTGCTGAATGAGTGTGGGGCTGTGGCTGAGAGAAGAGGGGATAGGGAGGACTCGATATGTGTGGACTCTCAATTGTGGTAGACAGAATAGCGGGCCCAAAGATTTCCACATTCTAGTCCTGGCAACCTGGGAATAGGTTAGGTTACATGGCAAGGGGAATTAAGGTAGCAGATAGAATTAAGGTTGCTTGCTAATCAGCTAACACTGAAATAGAGAGATTATTCTGGATTATCCAGATGGGCCCGATATAATCACAAGAATCCTTAGAAGTGAAAGAAGGAGGGAGAGGAGGGGAGAGGAGTCGACAAGGACTCAACCCACCGTTTATGGCTTTAGAAATCGAGGAAGGTGGCCACGGCCAAGGGAGGCAGATAGCGCCCAGCAGGTGACAAAGACAAGAACATGGATTCTCCCCTGGAGCCTCCAGAAAGGACACAGACTGCCAACACCTTGATTTTAGCCCAGTGCAACCTGTGTCAGACTTCAGACCTGCAGCATGCTGAAATGATAAATTTCTCTTGTTTTAAACTGCTAATTCATGGTAATTTGTTCTAGAAACAATGAAAAACTACTACACTAATTAAGCAACATTAGTCCTGGAAAGGATGATCAACATTATTGGAATAATTGCTATTTCACCCAATTTCCATTTCCCATCCCAAAACACTGAAGTGATTTTCTCCCCGGTATCAATCTCAGCTCTGGTCTCCATCTCTGGTGTCCTCACTTGCTCTGTTTTCAGGGGAGACGGTAGAGTCTGAAAGCTGTGTCTGAATGGAGTCCCGCAACATGGGGCCAGTGTGACAAAGGAGGAAGTAAGCCATGGGCCATGGGCTGGAGGGAGGGGCTGTCACTCACCATAGACAGTAAGGTGGAAAAACTGCATAACTTCTCTTCCTTCCATTAACCTGGCTTGAGCTCGGTACTGCCCACTGTCCTCAAGGGTCAGGTTCTCAATCTTCAGGGAGGACAAGCTGGGCACCTGGACCCTCTGCTGGAATTTGTCCTGGAGGCTGAACCAGGTTGGAGCCTGGATGCCTCTCTGGATTCGAAACATGACTCTGTAGTCTGACTCAGGGGTAAAGCTCCAGAAGACCTCCTCCAGCTCAGCTTCCAGAACTGCTCCTGCCTTCTTGGTCACATCAAACAAGACAGACTCTCCTCGGATCCCCTTCAGAGGAACGTGGGCTCCGGAATCCTTAACTGCAGAGCCGTGTGCCCCAGAACTCTCAGCCACAGCACTGCAGACACCTGGGGCATTGGAAACAGGAAATGGGAGTGTGTTCTCATCAAGAACAAATAAGAGAACCACGGAACTTTTCGTCTTAATCAAACCCATCCAAAATTCTTCTTTCTAGGAAGGCAGCCGAGTACAATGAATTGGAAGTAATTCTGGGATCAAGTCTGGTTCTCATGGAGTATAACCTTGAACAGGCTAAACTGCCTAACCGTCAGTTTCCTTACTATCCCAAAATGATAATACGAATTAAATGAGATCATAGATCAAAAGAACCTGGTACATTTTATGGCACATGCTAAGTGCATAAATGTAGGAGGCAGCTTCTAAAGTGTCTCCCAAAGGTGTCTCTCTCCTTCTGTGGACATCAGTGTGTAATCCCCTTCCCTGGAGTGTGGGCTGCACCTGGTGACCTGCTTCTAAGGAATGCAATGCAGCAAAGTGATTGGGCACTTTTCAGTGTCTAAAAACCCTAGAGGTCTAGTTTCTCCTTCCCTCACAATGAGACCCAATCACACTATATCTTCATAACTACTTGGGGAAATTTTTTGATGACTTTTTCCAATGCGATTTTTTTAATTTATTTAAAGATGCATCTGGTAATATTTATTAATAAAGAAGAAAAAAACACCAACACGAATTTAGTCTCCAGCCCTGCTCCCCAGGATGCATGGGAGGTGAGGTTACAGACATATTTGCCAAAATCTACGGTTCCCCCAGTCAGGGGGCACGTTCTTGTGGGAAGGGGGGCTGTTATGGATTGAATTGTGTCCCTCAGAAAAGATATGTTCAAGTCCTAAACCCAGCACCGCAGAAGGTGACCTTGTTTGGAAATAGAGGCTTTGCAGATACAGTCAAGTTAAGGTGAGGTCATTAGGCTGAGCTCTACTCCAATATCACAGCATCCTTATGAAAAGGGGAAACTTACACACAAACACCGACATGCACAGTGGGAAGCCGATGGGAAGACACACAGGGAGGAT